GTGATGTTGATCATCTTATAGAGTGGTGAGTGGGTGCTTCGATCGGAGTTGAAGGTGGTCATAAGCTGATAGATGACGTGGTTGGTGGCAGAAGGGTCCTGTGGAAGATTCGAGAACATATCAGTGTTCTGCTGAGGTGTATAAGGCGTGTTGGTCCTGGTAGGAGCCCTGTGGCGGGTTTCAGGTTTGTGACAGGTCCTTATGACCTGTAAACTAAGTTTGAGGAGTAGTACCCGGTACATACGTTAAAGGAGGTGATAATCCTCCTCATTAGGGTTTGTTAGGTTTTACACAAAAACAAGGGTGTGTAACACTGTGTACCGTGAGTCCGGGTACTTGGCCCCCCGGGCAGAAGCCCTGGGTCAGAGGTAGTGGGTTCAAGTCACAGCCAGAACATGTTAGTATTGAAGCATAACGCTTATATAAGGAGGTAGTGGGTTCCAACCACGGGTAGTGAGGTACATGTCTAAGCAAAATGCTTATAGAGGGAGGTAGCTAGTTCCAATCACGGGTAGTGAGGTTCATCTTTCAGCATAATGCTTATACAGGGAGGTACTTGGTTCCAACCACGGGTAATGAGGCCTGATATTATACAACAGGTCACAATATGCGTGTAATTAAGGGGAACGTATTCGTCACGGAAGCAACTGACGCTTGGACGGAGGTTAAGACGACAAGCGCGGACATAAGTGGAGTGAAATGTCCTCGTTTCGAAGTTTGTCCCCGTGCATTTTTCACGGATCTAGGCACACGGAGCTTCCGACGGGGCAGGTGTCCGTCAATGACCGGCTGTGTAGCGATGGCGGGTTGTTTCAGTGACATCCCGTGGTGACAGGTCCCAATATCATTCGGTGCGTTGATTGAGAACCTGTCGACACAAACCACTCACGTCAACCTCAACTTTCCGATTCAAGAGTCACTTCGACATGACACTTCTCAAAGTGAGTTCCCGATTCAAGACTCACCTCGTCATGACACTTCTCAAACGAACTTTCCGATTCAAGAGTCACTCCGTCATGCCACTTTTCAAACTAACTTGCCGATTCAAGAGTCACTCCCTGTCACTCCGTCATGACACTTCTCAAACTAGCGATTGCTTGATACGCACCAAGCATAATTCACGTTGAATATGTCGAATCTGTAAGTCTTCGCTTCAAAAGTCAGCTTATTATAATTCCTATGACAAATCTGACATCAATGTTTGATTTGTTAGGAATTTTCAACACTCGTTAGGACTGATGAGGCTTCAGGCGGTTGGGCATTAGGTTAGGCGTTAGGGTGGTTAGGGTTAGGTGGTTAGGGTTAGGGCTTAGGGCTTAGGGGTTAGGGCTTAGGAGGTTAGGGCAGTTTTTTTTATATCACGTCCTTTGTTTAATCTCAAGACCTGGTAGACACAAGCTAATTTCCTTTCATAGAGTTGTTTAGGTTTGATTAGGTGTTGTTAGGGTTAGGAGGTTAGGAGGTTAGGATTAGGAAGTTAGGGTTAGGAGGTTAGGATTAGGAGGTTAGGAGGTTAGGCGGTTAGGATCAGGAGGTTAGGATTAGGAGGTTAGAAGGTTAAGATTAGGAGGTTAGGATGTTGGGATTAGGCGGTTAGGACGTTAGGTAGGAGGTTAGGAGGTTAGGATTGGTCAGGAGCGGGCTGGGTCAGTTAGGAGCGGGTAGGATCAGTTAGAAGCGGTTAGGAATGGTGGCTTTCAGGCATTAGGGTTAGTGGATTATGGCATTTTTCATCACATCGATTCTGTGATTCCAAGACAAAGCAGACACAAGCTAATTGCATCTCATGGGTTTGTTTGGGCTTTTTTAGGCTTTGTTAGGGATTTTTCAACTGGTGAGGAATTAGGGTTGGGTTAGGACAGGTTCGGTTCATTAGGATTGCTGGCCTTTTGGATTTAGACGTGTTAGGCTCGGTAAGGGCAATTTTTTCCTGCTATGTTCATTCTGAGTTTCCAAGACATTGTCTAGACGCAAGCTGACTTGCACTCATAGGATTGGTTACAATTTGTTATGATTGCCTTAGGTGGTTGGTTGATGGGTTTGGGATTACGATGCGGGTTGTTTTGTACATAATGACCTTCATATGAGGATGATACACAGAAATTGTAGACACATCGCTGTCATTTCATAAGAATGTGAAAATGATAATTTCAAGCGGCTTGAAAGTTTCATCGCACTCAGTGGCCTGCTCTCGTTTTCCAATCAGATAGCTGTCCATGGGAGTATATGCGAGCAATCATGATTTGGACACATCAGAACTGTCTCAAAGGACTGAATCGACGCAAATCACGCCGCTCTGTTGGTGAGGCTTCAGAGCTTCAGACACGAGGATCATTGGCTGGTTATACCGAAAATGATAACCAACATTGTATGGATTTTCTTTTGTCATTGATGAAAGATGTTTCCACTCTGGCCAATACGCTCAAAGGCTTGTAAATGTTTCCACCTAACCATGACATTGTCAACTTGTTGTGGAATGTTTTCACCGTGGACACTCGACAGCATGAACACTGTTGGTGCAATGGCTCTTGGGACCAATGGTTTGTCCTTCATCGTATTCGTCAGAGCGCATCTCCTCTCTCTGTCCTTTGATCAATCATCACGTACGCTATTCCTGCAAGTTGTGCACCAAAAGTTTCTTACTATCACTCAAATCATCTTACTATCTATTCAAATAATCAAATCTGCCTTTCGAAATGGCATCAAGACCTTTTGTACAACCTCAAATCGTCGACATGGACTCTTTTGAAGGCGAATGCATTACAAACGGACGCAGTCTCAAGATAATCGACTCGGAGCAGTACCCTTTGCTCAATGATATCTATGACATCGTACCTTTACCATTCATCCACTACGTACCTATCCCTTGTGGCTCCGATTTGCCAACCGACTCACTGCGACTGGTCCGAAACATTACTGAATCTCCACCTGTTTTTCCATCATTACCTTTACGCCACACGTTACCAGATGTCGCCAATATTCGTGAGGACTTTGTTGCAGCTATGCGCACTACAATCAATTGGGTAGCAGATGTTAAGAGAAACAATGGCCGCAAGCGAGTGTCTTCAGAGGAAGATAAGGTACAAGAAGCTGCATCGTCGAAGAAGAAGTGTGGTCCAAAACGAATACACGAGGACACTTGGACCTTTAAATGTCCATGTGCTGGTCAACCTAGAACCAAGACCAATACCAACACACCCACCCTCTCCACTCCCGAGTTCATAGGCCATCTAGCTGGAAACTGTCTCACAGCTGTCTTGCCAAAGCCAAAAGTGAAGCGAAAATCACAACCCTCAATGAAAGTCGGATGCCCTGCAAGATTCACCATCAAGAAGAGAATCGACAACGGACTTTATGAGCTGTCTTGGTATTGGCAACATGCAAATCACGAGCCTTACAGCGTGGCCGACATGAAGCGGATGCGGCTAGCAGCTCCTGTGAAAGAGTGGTTGTCTGAACGGGTGTTGGCTGGAATGACTTGGCCTGGTATCAAGAAACTGCTCATGTCCCCCGATTTGTTCAGCGTAGGTCTATCTCATTTTTTGACTGTCGCCTTCTCTGACTCACTCTGGCATTGATGCTTTTGTGATTAGGACGATCTCGGAAACTCTACATACATTCCTGAGCTGGTCAACATCGACTATCAGACTGTCCAAAACATGATTCACAAACGAGCCGACAAACTCGTTCATCTGGATACAAACCCTTACAGATCACTCCAGGCCTGGGGGAAAAAACTTCGAGAAAATGGGTGGCATGTTAAGGACTCCTTTCTAGAAGATAAAGGCTTGATCAGTTTTTGTTTTTTTTCACCCTGGCAAAAAGAACAACTACAAGCTTATGGTGGTGAAATTGTATGCCTCGACTCTACACATAATACTACAAACAACTTCCGAAAGGACTTTAGCGACATCAAACTTTCTCTTTTCACCATTGTTGTTCGTAGCCCTGTAACTGGAAAAGGGGTCCCTGTTGTTTGGTTTTTAACCTCGAATGAAAAATCGTGAGCTTTTCCTATATCATCTCATGCTTTTTCTCGATCAGGCCATGCTAACTAATTTTATCTGCTTTTTACATTTGTATCAGTCCTACAATTAGTGATGTGCTCTTGTGGCTACGACAAGAGCACAAGTTTCATCCGAAGGTCTTTATGACCGATTGTTGCCCGGCTTTGGCTGGGGCAATCTCTGAGGCTTATTCAGACACTGATAACCCACCACAGTTGTCTTGGTGTTTTTTTCACGTGCTCCGTGCTGCTCGTAAAAAAACCATGGAGTTGGTTAGTATCCCTGTCTTGAAATCCATCCCTTTCCTTTCCAATTGTGGAGTTAGTATTTGATACTGATGTATTCGGGCTTTTGCTATAGGCTGGTAAACGACTTGCTGAGGATCTTCTGGTGGATTTCATCAAAATCGCTTACGCAGTTTCTCCTGAAGCTGAATTCAATCAATTTGTGGCGAAGTGGGTATACATTCAACCACAGTTTGTCAACTACGTTCGCACTTTTTGGATGAAGCATGTGCATCGGTGGGCCAGATCATACGCGCATCCGAATAATCAAGGAATACATACCAACAACTATACTGAGGTATGGCATCGTATCTTCAAAGTCGTCTACCTTCCTCGTCACACTCGTCTCCGACCCGATAATGTCATATTTATCCTCATGAGAGAAGTCGAACCCGACTTTCGAATTGCTTCTTCAAAGGTCATCCTGGGTTTTGAAAAGCAACGTACAAATAAAGCTCAACAGATCTCGAAGTGTCTTGCAATGGCGTATTCTTTAGATGACCTCCGTACCCTTGGGGTCCGACTTGTTTGCTATCCGGAATTTTATCTTATGGACTCCCTCTCAAACCCATCACGACGGACCTATCTCATCAATATAAAACCATCTCAAGGTCATTCAAAAGCTCAGGTTCTGAATTGTAACTGCGAGAGTTTTTTGAAAGGGAAACTCGCATGCAAGCATATGTACTTGATCTCGATCAACTTCAAGATGACCGTGGTTGAGGACCCTAGTTCGATCTTCAAAGTGGACTGGCTCAGCGGCCCTTATGGAAATGTCAATATTGACCGGACCTATGCAGCGCACATCCGGTCCAAATATCCCCATCTCGCACACGACCTTCCACAAGCCTGGCCAAAGGGCCTGACCCCGGAAGTTCAATCAACTACGGTATCGAATCCTACTCCCACCACTAGTGATATCGAAAGCTTGGTTGAGGCGATCCCTGCTGAAGAGGCCGATGGCATCCCAAACACGATGATTGAAGCCCACCTCACTGAGTCTTCACCTGACGGGCCACCCGACTCCTGGTTTGGTTCTACAATTGAAGCCTCAGTTATGTGTTCAGTCAATGTAGAAGAACAAGCTGTTACTTCTTGTCTATGTCCCAGCTTTAAACTCACCAACAGACCTTGTTCTCATATGCTCAAGGTCTCTAACCGATTGGGGATACCAATTGTCTTAGATACAGATAACACTTGCTCGCCTCCACACTCTCAAATGCCAGTCATCACATGCAAGCTTCTCAATGGCCGCAAATTGGTGACTGAGTGTACTTGTGATGTTTTTCAGCATCTCGGGCAGCCCTGTCTTCACATGAAAAAGATGTGTCAAATTCTTGACCTGGAGATGTACGTTTTAGAACCCGATCATAAGGATGTCTCGGATGGTGGCTCGGTAGTTCACTCAGACCAACAGATTAACCAGCCACATGCAGAAAGCAGTTCCTCTCTACCTGAAACTAGCAATTCGGGTCGCTCTCAGTGCCTCTCAGAAACACTGACTGAAACACTGACTCATACCGATTTCACCTTACCTTTGGTCAAATCCACACGTGCAACAGTCAATCGCATCCAGAGATGCCTATCAGGCAAGGCAATTACTCGACTTGCCAACCAAGTTAGCCCAGTTACCATGAAAGATATTGAGGAGGCTTCAAAAAGGCTGGAACGATCAATTACGGATGCTCTTGACTCTGGCCGTCCTAAAAAACAATGTAGATTTTGATACGTTGTCAACAAGTAAGTGTGATATTGCGAGCCACTTTCATTTCCCTCTGCTTTTTGGTGAATCTTCACAAGAAGAAACTGATTGCATGTCCTTTGTAGTAACCCTCACAGGCAGTCTTTGCAATAAAATTCTCGTCCTCAACTCAGCTGGCTATCATTTTCGAGGCTCACTCGATTCAACTTTCATTTCAATCTCACTTTCAACAATTTTTTGAGAATCTACATGATTGCTAATTTGTTTCGTTCATCTTCATACAACCTTCTCATTCTGATCCTGCCCTTATTACAGTCCCGTAAAATTGGTCGACAAAACGAAGCAACCAAAAGCGTTCAATTTTGAAGCCGGTGACATTCATGTTTATCTTCTTCCTGATTGTGATTGCACCATCCTTGTTTTTCCTTCCTATCGTCATGTGCTGCGTCTCTCTTTGTGATTGTCACTTTCCTTGTTTTTCTTTCCTGAAGATTCCTGTCTTGAAATTCACTCTTCATTGACACATTTTCCGTTCCTTCCGTGTGTATCTGCACGTCATCTTGTGTCCAGAGAGTCCCACGCACTTGGACGGCTATCCCCCCGCCACCTCCCCGCCCCCCTCCCTGCCCCCCCCCCCTCGCGTCCGCGTAACCCCCGTCACGTCTCCCCAGCCATCACCTCTACCCCTCACTCCCCCCGCCGCTCCCGGACACCCCCGTCAAAAGCCAAGTACCGGCGGCTGATACCACACTTCCCCACGAGGTCTCTAACCTTTCTCGATCCAAACATCCCCCGGTACATCCAAGGACGTGGTTGTAGATCGATTTGGACATCGTCACTGTCATTTAATTTCTTGCGGTAATGAGGTTTATGTTTAAGCATAATGCCTATAGATGGAGGTCACTGGTTCAAACCATGGGTGAGAAGGTATGTATTCAAGGAATATGTGTATACTTAGGGACTAAGTGGTAGACCTTGGGGTATTTAAGGTCTATAGGTTAGTTTCATACATGATAAAGACCTCCTAGGGATGTAATAGTCATACAAAAAGGGTATTTGGACACATTATGTTAATTTGGGTGGAGAACAAATAGGTTATTGTAGTATTGGTTCAAACTGGATATGTAATGTAAAATATTACAAGCGGGCTGACTCGTAAGGTATTAGGTCTAGCCTGTAGGTGCATATGTGATAAGAAAGAAGACCTGAAGGGGGGTCTGATGATCCAGGTGGTAACCCAGAGAGGCTTGTCAAAGAAAAAATATGGTTGTTCTTTGGAGAAAATGATAACATGGAGTCTTCACTGCTATCTTTGACCTGGTTTTGGGGACACCTGGAGTGTTTTCAATGGTGAGTGTACACAATGGGGGTGTGGTATATAGTTTAGCACCAAAGGTGAGTCCAAGAGGTCACTGTTTGGTAGGATAAGTCATGTCTTAAAATGACAGAGGAGGGATATTTTGGTTACAGTTCCACATATCTATTATGAGTTAGCCTATGTGGCGGTGCCTACCAAAATAAGAAGGTGGGGCATAGGGGCATAGGGGCATAAGGGTTGTAACGAATTGAAGGGACTATGAGTCCCCTGCGCAGCGCGCAGAATTCACCAGTGTGGAGAAGGAATTTTTGAATATTCTGTTTGGTTTGGAGTTCAAAGGGAACTCAGGGGCTTGTTGAGGAGTTATGAACTTTGTCCAAGAGGGTTAATAGTTGAATGATAACATGTGAACCATGCGTGGGGAAATATGGATTACCATAACGAGATGGAATTTTTGGGC